TGTGTGTATATATATATAAAATGAATATATATTTCCCCTGGAACATTCCAAACAAGCCCCCCAGCTCCCAGCTCCTCCAGTATTCCTGAATTCCAGCCCTGTTGAGCCTCTTACTTGGAGATGAATTTGTCTTTCCCGCAGGGAACCAGGTCCTCTCCACCTCCGAAATCCATCCCCCCACACTTCTGTCATGGGAGCTGAGCTGGAGAGAGGCAGGAGAGAGCAACATCAGTGGGAGCCCCCCCATTCCCACATCCCTGACCCCCATCCACGGAAAAGTGAGAGAAAATAAAGCCCCCGGGTCTGGGAGAGCTTCTGGGAAAAGGCTCCCGAGGACACAGATGTGGAGTTTGATGATGGGAAAGGAGGGAGATCAGATAAGGGAGAGGAGCAGCAAAGTCACTGAAAATTTAATCCCGGTGGATTCACTTACATGGAATTTGCATTTGGAGCATCCAGGGATGTCCCCGTGATGCCAAACAAGGAGGTGGGAGGGTTGTAAGTGGGAGCTGCTCCTTTCCTGTATTTATTTTACTATTATTTTATTCTGCAAGGCTTTGGACACTGAACTCTGGATCTGGCTGCTGCTTCCCTGTGCCCTCCCAGACCCGGTGGTGGCACAGGGGATGATTTTCCGAGCAGCCAGAGATGTTGGGCTGGTCCTTCAGGGGTTTTTTAACACTGCCAGTTGGAATTTTGTGCCAAAACACCTCCATTGCTCTTGTGCAAAACACTTGGAAAGTCCCATAAAAATCCTGCCTTGGGACTGGCCCTGGCTTAGATCTCCAGAGTGATTTTTGGACACAATGAAGGGGAATTAAAATGGGCTTCGGGATGAAGACCTTGGAGCACTCGTGGACTCAGAGCACTGTGGAAATGGGGCACCAGAGAGACCTTGAAATGCAGCATTGGGGCAGTTTTGAATGATGAAAAAGGGCTTCTCAGGCTGTGCTTTTCCTTGGATGTTTGTGCCACCTCCCCTACAAACGGGCTTCCCTCTTTCCGGGGTCTCTCCACTCCCTTCCCTTGTCCCAAAAGAGAAACCGAGGCGAGGAAAAAAAGCCTTTACTCTGCAAACCCCTGTTTTCTTCCACCTCCCACATCACCATGTGCTTCCTCCCAGTCCCCTGGGAAACAAACCCCTTTTCCTGCAAGGAAAACACACAACCCCACAACAAATGCAGGCAGAGAAACGGCTCAGCCAAGGCCGTGTGGTAAAACCTGTGTGGGAGGATGAACCTGCCCCTAAAACCAGCAGCAATCCCGAAGTCGGGATAAATTCCAGCGTATAAATGATTGGCAATGACAAAAGATATTCCCTGACGTGTCTCAAACCCCAGAAGAGGCTGCAAAGGCCACGCTGGAGGTGGGGCAGGAGGGGAAGGGCAGGAAGCTGCTCCGGCCCCGGAGAAAAAGCAGAAGAGAAACTCAGCACTGAAAAATGGCACGGGGCAGTGGAAGGGCTGACAGAGCTTTGGGTTTCCTGAGGAGTCACAGGAGAACCCCGGGAAAACCTGGCAAAACCCGGCCAAACCCTCCTCCTGTGGTTGGCAGCCACCTCTCCACATCCCTCCATCCTCCCACAGGGAATAATCCCAGCAATAATCCTATTTATCCCTCAGAAATGAGAGTGGGAAGGGATTTTGCAGCTGGCTTCAAGGTTTTGGGACAAATGTCGGTGCTTGTGGGGACCCAAATTTGGGGTTCAGCACCTGTGAGATGCAGGAATGGCAGGAATGAGGATCTCAGGGGCGTCCCCTGACAGTGGATGGCAAAGCTCTGGAGATGTCCCGGGAGGATTAAAGGACAGAGCTGTTGGCTCATGCAAAAATGGTGCCAGAAATATCAAAGTGGCTGAAAAAAAAATAAAAGTGGCTGAAAAAACCCCCTCCTACAGCAGCACAGCCCCGGGTGGAGCCTTTGGTATCACAGGGAGGTTCACTCTGGAGCATCACAGCAATGCAAAGGGGTAAAGCCAAATCCCTGGATCCTTGAGGGGGACATGGGGTGAACTCCAGCCATAAAAAAAGCACATTTTGGGGTGGAAGGGGAGCTCCAAAAGGCAGGTTCATCCTCCCGTGCTGAGGATCCTGTTTCCTGTTTACGCCCCGGCGCTGCCACCTTCGCCTCCGTCATCACATCCCCTTCCGAGCTGCAGGAAAGGGGCAAATTCTTCCTTTTTTGGGTCTGGAGAAGCTCTGGGTGGTGGGTGGAGGGGAACAGAGACCCAGCCAGAGAGCAACCACTGCTGAGCACCCAGTATTCCCCTCAGCTTTGGCAAAAGGCTGGAAATGCCCCCAGCAGAAGGGCTAGCAAAGTGCAAGTTGCCCACTTGCCCGGCCAGGGCAGCTCAGCCCCTTCCCCTTCCCCTTCCCCACTGGGCCTCAGTTTCCCCACCCTGAGCTGACGCATTTCCCCCGTCCCTGCCCAAGCTGAGCTTCTGCCGAGGCCTCACAAAGTGCTTTTAAACCACCAGCAGATAAATCAATGCCCTGCCCCCGTGGCAGGAGGATTTCAGCCCTCTCTGCCTTCCAGCACCAGCTGCTCCTGCCAGTGCTTTCAGGCACGGCCCAGCCCACGGCCCCCAGACTTGTTCCACTCCCTAAAAATTACCTCCCTGAGCCCCTTCCCACATCCCTACAGCCCCAAGTGCCCCGTGGGGCAGAGGGAGACTGGTCATGCTCCCAGCCCCTCACATGGAGAAGGGATGAGCTCTCACTTTTGCCGAGCTCTCAGGGAGATTCACAACTCAAACACAACAACAGAACAAGGGGAAAAGTAGGAAACCCCCCTCAATATTGTGTTTTCAGCAGGAGAGGGATGTTCGACCCTGCTCCTGCAAAGAAATCAGCATTTGGGGGGGTGGGGGTGCTGTCTTGGTCCCCCCGGCAGCGCACGGAAGCTTTGGCTGCATCCCCGGCCGATCCCGCCGAGGCGGATTTGGCGCAGCTGAGGCTCCCCCCGGCCGTGCGAGGGATTGTGGGAATATCCCTGTCCCCGGGGAGGCCCCGATATTCCCTCCTGCACAAACGCCGCCGCGTCCCCGCAGCCCAGGGCGGCTTTTACCCGGCCCAAGGGCGCTTCGATCCCGCCGCGATCGGTAGCAAAGCATCATCCGAAGGCGACAATTCCTCC